TTTTTTTTTGTGTCTGTTACCACTTTTTCTCAGCTCTCACCGAACCGATTTCTTTCAATGATACGTCAAAAGATCACAAATCGTATCTAGTCGAAGACATTACCCTTAAAAATTGAAAAAAATTCCCTCGTTCCCCGTAAATGGGAAAAATCTCCAAAAAAATTACAAATTTAAAAATCGCTAATTTTCGATATTTTTTCAATTTTTTTTACTTAAAAATGCCATAACTTTTTCAAAAATGAACATATCAATATAATTCTTTTTTATATAGATGCATAATATCATTACCTTTCATTTGGTATATTTTTTTCATAAATTTAACCCTTAATCTGCCCACAAGGGGGGATTCAAAATGACAACTTTTTCACAAAAAATTTACTTTTTCAACTTAAATTTTGAAAGTGTTCCGGAAAGTCTGACACTTTTTTATATTTATTAAATTAAAGCTAATGTAATCTACTTTATTATGTAAAAAACAAATTTCGGACTTTATTTTGTCTTCACGATGAAAATGGCTACCGAATGCTATTATTGTGTGAAAATTCTCGATTTTATTTTTTACATTTTTAACTTTATAATGCTATAACTTATTGAAAAGTGTATTGATCAATATAATTTTTTTATGGGAAATTCTATTTTTTAATAATCCCTTTTTCATTTGACATACTTATTCATATACATCTTTATCAGGATATTAATAAGGAACTAGCAGTTTATGAAGCTTTTGGAATAATCCACCAATTTTTTAAAATTAAACACTATCTAAAGATTTGCATCGAAGCGTTTTTTTTTTATAGTGATTTTAATCACTGTCAGATATCATTATACTTGATCCATCTATACCACGTCACCACTGTGCCGTGACCCCCCTGTGCTGGGTTTTTTTTTGACTATTATAATACAACTAAATTTTCTTAATACTTAGAATTTATATTTAAAGTGAAACCTTACTCCATAAACTTTAATTTTATATTGTTCTTACAAAAAAGATAAAATAGTTATTTTATTTAAACATATGTGTTCATTAAAATTCTTTTCGAAAAATTTTTCATTGTTTAGTTAGTATATTTTAACACGTATCCATTATGATCGGCGGTGGTAAAACAAGAATGCACACGATGAATTAGTTTAACAATAGAATGTGAATAAAAGATGTGATGTAGTCGACACTGTCTTTTTTTTTTTAAAAAAATAAAGCATTTTGATTTTTAATTCAATTTTCCTATGGTATCAAATGTTAGTCCATATTATGTAAAAGACGGAAGTAAACACTGTCTTATTACGTTATTTTCTGGTAACATTACGCGATTTCTTTTCCATTGATAATAATCACGTTTAAAGCGCATTTTATAAAAATGATTATCTCTAGTCTTAATTAAAGAAGTTAGAAACATTATCGTATGTCAACTATGAGTATTCCATGGTTAGCCACGTTAAAACTGATAACAATTATTAATATTCCTTGTTAGGAGATTTGATAATAAATTCACTTATTCACTATTATTGGCGTTTAAATTTATGATATATGGACTTACTTAATTAAAAACTCAACATGTTTCTATAATTTTTTTTAGTAATCTTAATTATACTACTACTTATTTTTTAATGTCAATTACAAATGTTAATAATTTTCATAGAATAGAAATCGCGTACTGTTACTAGTTAATAACTATACTAGTATATAGTTCTATATTGTAAAAATTGATTAAAAAAAAAAGAATGTATAAAATGTTATGTAGATAATAAGTTAGATGAGTTGTCAGTTAGATCTATTCTACCATGTATATACAGATTGATTCATTAAGGAAAAGCCACTCATTTTCTCGATAACTATTGAAAAATTTTAATTTTTGGTAAGGAAAATATTGTTTAATTAAAAATACTCTACAATAATATGTAGTAAAATCATAATTTTTTTCATCCCTTCAAGATTAAAAAAATATTAAATTGAATTGTCTTAAATAGGAATCTATTTTGAATTTGTTATTATGATTTACAATAAAAATACAAACAACTTTGCTCTTATAATTTCTTTTCCGATCAACCGTTCGTCTGTTACAGCTTGTTAAAGTTAAATGATTTTGGACTAAATTTCTATTATTTTACTGTTTTGAATACAGAAGTCACTATTTTTAATATAAACTAGTTTTTATTGATCAAGATATGACATGTAAGATAGCAATAATAATTTACGACACACTAATTGAGAGATAATAATAATAGATTCAAATCGGGCCTTAACTATATTATTAATAGCACAGTCTATTGGTTTGTAAAATAATCTGCAATACTGAAGAATCAATTACTTAAAGAGGTTGGGTTGGGTTTTTATTTTTATTTTTATTTATATTTATATTCTTTTATTTACCCGTGACTTATCAAGATGAATTTTTCTGGTTTTTTGCGACGAGTATCACAATAATAATAATCGTAAACTTCAGATATTGAGTTGGCTTTTTCTTCATATTCAGAAAATTGTCTGTCTCTCGTGTCTTGAAGAAATAGATCCAGAGAACTATAAATCTGCACAACGGATGATAATTCAACTTGAGATTCTTGAAACTTCTTATTAGCAGCATTAAAACAAACTAAAATTACATTCCAAACAATGACCGTGTCGTTGGTTTTTCATCTCTGCTTTCGGCAACAAATTCCAGTGCAATAATTATTGCAAACCACTTTTTTTTTAACGCGTACCATGTATCATGTCGAGCAGACAAACGAATTTGAGAAAAGATTCTTAACTCTTAAATTTGTAAAGTGCACTAAGATCTCCCAACGATGTGTAGATATAGTAAAAAAATTGTATAGTTCTTGCAAAGTCGAAAAGAAGTCGACTGCTTCTGTTACCGATTCAATTTCTCATCATTCTATTAAAAATAACGAATGGTTGACACAGGGAACACAATCTGCTAAAGAATTAATTGGTTTGGTTCGTATCTGGTATATATACCTGACACATTGCTTGCATTATCATAAGATTGACCACGACAGTGCATTATGTCCAAACCATTTCTTTCTAGAGATTTTAACAAATCATTCTCAATATCTTTAGCTTTATGGCTGATATTTGTTAGAAATTCTAGAAACTTTTCAATAATTTTACCATCATCATGTACATATCTTATAATTATAATAAGCTGATCAACATGTAGCAATATCAGGCGTATAATCTACAATTATACCAAAATATTTACCAAATTGTACTTCACTAGAAATTTTTGGTAAAGTTTTATTCTGAATGAACAGTATATTTCTTTAATAGATTGTTTTGGACAAATACGACATATTTCCAACACCAGGGTGCGCATATAATTAGAAATGTTCAGATAAAATTGTATTAAATTTAAACTATGTACAAATGTGTCAATTTTTCCAAAACATATTCAATAATTAAGTTGAAAAATTTTTTTATTCGAAAAAAACTTTTAAACCCTTGTGAGAATCTTAAGAGTCAATTTTTTTAAACATTATTCCAAATTAAAGGTATATATTTAAGGAATTTATAAAAAAAATTATTTTTATTTGTTTTTTTTTTTAGAAAATTATGGCTAATTTCATCAATAAATCATGAAAATTTTCGAAGTTTGTCGATTTTAAAAGTAATAAGTTTATAAATACTTTGCCCTTTTATGGAAAACGAGAGGACTTTATTCAATTTTCGAGATCAACAAAAATTATATTCAATATATATATATATATTTACAAAATTTTATTTCACAATTAATACAAAATGAGATATAATTCACGGTATAAATTATTAATCTCACTAATGGAATAGAAAGGAAATAACATTACTCAATAAAGACTATAATTGAGCTATTAAAAAAATACCATCTTACCCACAGATTAAGAAGTTAATAAATGAATCAAATTATAATATCATCCACAGAAAATTTTTTATAAAAACTAATCTGAACCAATGTTTGAAATTAATTGTCTCAACATTTTCGACTTTAAAATTTTAGCATTTAAAACATTTTGTTACCCTTCAAATTATTCCGCCACAGGCCCGGGCCTCATAAGCCTAGGCGTAAATCTATCAGTGAATATCATAGGCGAATATTTGAGTCCAAATAGTAGTATATGAAATTAAAACAAGCCTCTTCTCGTTCTAAATACCGCAAAAAAACAACATTTTGATTTAATTAGCATTGTCAATAACCCGAATATAAGTGGAGAGTCATTTTTCTATAACCTTGACAGGACTAAACGTCGTAAACACGATACAATTAAACAACAGCGTTGTATGTAAACACAAGGTGGCATCGAGCCGTTTATTGGTGAAAAATTTAGCACAAAAAATATGCGTACTTAATCACTAAGAGAGTGGATGTGAATCCAATAGTTTACAAGCCAAGAAAACAAATATGTAACACTATATAGAAAGATCAACGATGTCGCTAACAGGAACGAGCTGTGTATCGGGCGGTGTCACGAAAATTACTTAACGTATATTTGCGGCGGGTCATAGTTGGACGTATGGCACTTGCTGGACTTTGCACTGTGGTGTATCGCAAGCGGTGATAGTCAGTCAAAGATACCATATACACATAGTAGGGCAACGGCTGATAGAGGTGTCACCAGTCGCGGGGCTCCGTGTATTGAGAACCGTGACAACCTTGTGTCATAAATTATATGACTATTGATTCTTATACTTTTTATGTTCGACCATTTTTCAAATTTTTATTTTACTGACTATCTCTAAACCTTCGAAAAATATGAAGGAAAATAATCAAATAACATAATTTATTAAAACAAAACTGACTACTTTATTTTTTTGTTTTTAATGAATACAGTTATTAGGATTTTTAAACCATTTGGGTAACAATGAATATTTGATACAATATGAACTTCAAATTATGTACATACCTACGTCATTAAAATAACTAAAATAGTTTTACTATTATTAAATCAATTTTACACAGAAATATCAAACTTAACATATTATAAGGCGCAGAATAGTTGTTATGAAATAGATACAAGTCGTTCTTTTTCTATTTCAATAAAATACAAGCAATATTAGAAAAGAGTTTAAAATTATTTTACATAAAAGTATAGCATAAAATAAATTTCATTTTATAAAATAAAAAAACATGTCGAAGAAAATTATTTTTTATGAGTTTTTCTTATTTTGGCAATTAAGTCAAGTTTTAGGTGTTTATTATGATACTCAATGTGAAGATTTTAAAAAATACGTTATTAACTCATTAAACCACATTCGTATTCAAAATGGATGGGACTCAATTCAACAATCAGAAATTAAACTTGAGTACTTAACAATTAATACCGAAACCGTAACAAGTCAAATTATCGATGAAAGTAACTTTATACAAAAACTCTACTATTTAACTTACCTATTAAATTGTGAATTTACCAATACAATGCAAACTTTCAATGTAATGTTAGGCCTTGTTTTAAATAAGTGTGAAGTTAAATATTTAATAAATAAACAATATGATCAATTGGGATATTGCACAAGGCTAATTATTTACATTTTTAATTTTTCAATAAATATGTTTAATGAAATGTTGAAAGTATTAAAATATCTTGACAAAGTCGACCTACGAATTATAGACTCGGCTATGGTTACTATTAAAACTGTAGATAGTGAAATAAATTATTTTCACACATATGCAATTGAGTTAAGCAATATTTCATTATTTGAACTACCTAGTACTTTTAATTGGGTCAATACTTTTGAAAACATAAAACATTTTAATAAAAAAGCGGAATTAATAATATCAAATCTCTACAAAAATAGAAAAGTGTGTGGGACAGAACACGAAAGTTCCATTTTAGACAAATTATTGATGAAATACAATATCGATCAAATGGAAAAACTGGTGGAGGACTCCAACGAATTTATCAATGATATTTTTAAAGATCTTGAATTATATTTTACCGGAATAATAGAAAATTGTTATTCAAAACTAGGCTTTGAACATCTAGAAAGTACAAATACGTTCGTGTAAGATTCATAGTTTAATTGATTAAATTTAAGAATTTTATTCGTTATTTAAATTATGATATTTTTATGATATTAATTTGTAGCATCCATTTATATTTTTTTTTGTTCCATGCAGGTATATTCATTCCAAAAGAAGGATATACGGCTATAATGAAGGCATTGTATTGTGTAATCATTTTATTTCTCAAACTGGTTGGATGTCATGGAAACATATATCTGTTAAAACTGAATTTACAAATGGAAAATCACTTTATTTCAAAGACATTATATCTACAGTTGATAAGGAAAATTATTATTTTGTGCGGACATATCTTTCACTTATTTTAAGATGTCGCTATATTGAAATATTTCATAATTTTAATATAATGTTGGGACATATAGTTAATGTTTGTAAATATGAAAATAAAATTAATTGTGCAGTTAAGCTTTATGAAACACTTATGACATCCGATGGCATGTTTAAAAAAATGTTAGTTGCGCTTATTACTTTGAAACACTACACAAAAGATAAAAAATGTCGACATCGAGAATTATTATTAGAGAAAATGATAGAATTTTTTATTGATTATTTGAATGATGTTAGGAAAAAGTATGTTTCATTGTTGTTATTTACTAAAGATAGACTTTATGAAGCTTCAATGTTTCTTGAAGAGGTATCTCACATTCAATCTTTAGATTTACAGATAAAATTAAAGCATGTTATCAAGTTCAACTTGAAATATTGTAACATTAATAAATGTGATTCAGACATAGATTTGACAACATTTGAATGTTCAATTAAAAACAATACCTTAACAGAATATAGTACTACTTATCAAACTATGTGTAATTACTTGGAATCATTTGTTCTAAAGGTCGTGAAAAATGATTATGAGTATTTAGGTTTCAATAATTTGCTTTTTAAAAATTGATTTTTTATTCGATACTTATTAAAAATATTTTTATTATGTTATATAAGTTATTATAAAATAATTTTAAGACCAGATAAAGTTGACTCTGTTTTTTAGTATATTTGTATATTGTGTGAATACTATACTTTGGTTGAGCTGAATTTGGAGCATATAATCGACATACTTTATTGGTAATGCTATGCTTGATGGCAGGCGGATACCGAAAGATGTTTTAGACATGATAATTCTTTTAATTAAGTTTTTGCTCTCTCTTTTCACTTTGGTCCCTTTATTTGTAGAGAAAGTATTGTTTTAGATGGTTTTTTTTCGTTTTAAAATGTTTTTTAATAAAAACCTATTAATTTGACATAACTACTGTAAGAAAATTTATTACTATGTTCTCACCATTTATATTATACACGTTTTAGTTCCATTTACTTAATTCGTAATACATATTAATTATCATAGAGGGAGATACTGGTTTGAAAATTCCACTCGTTTGTAGCCCGAAGCTACTGACGGCGAACTAACAAAGGGCAGTTGTGCACGATTGCCTGTGTTTGCTTTAGGTAATTAAAACTCAATTAAGGATATAGGGACGATATTTGGGCAGACGTCGGGTAGCTTCCAATTTTTGGTTTTGAACAAGATCCTCAAGAGCCCCTAACACTACAAAGTATTTTTCTTGCGTCTTCCATTATCAATGAATTCTTGTATTTTTGTATTTCTTTCCCTTAAAAAATCATCTGACCCTAATTTATAAAGAACAGGTAACGTACTCTCATAATTTCATATCAGGTATATCTTAGTAAAAAAGTCTGTCACATTTTTGTCATCATTTTGTGGTGTACATATATTGTCATCAACTCGACGAACATCAGTTACAGCTTTAATTAGTTAGGATACAACTATCCACCCCTAGCACAGTGAGCTGTGGAGAAGTATACTTGTAACAAAAACGTTAGGTACTATGAATTTTTTAACTATAGAGCGCAATGCATACAATTATCCAATATATGCTTCTCCGATCAATTATTAAGTATACAAAATAAATTATTCACTAATCCGAAACAATTCTGGAAATATGTGAAAAACTACAAAAATATAAATTTACTTTCTGTAAATTTAGAATATGAAAATGCCCACCCAGCTGACTTAAATATTATAACGGAGATATTTGGTAAATATTTTTCTTCTAGTATTCATCTAATACAGCGGCTCAGTCCAGAATTTTTGAATTGGACAATATTAATATTCTCTTGACAACTGCTATTTTCAAAGCATTGGAGGGTATCGCTCAATTAAGTCTAAGTACTAGTGTTATTCCAGATAAAATTCCTGAAATTGTGCTTAATAAATTTAAATATGCCTTAATTATACACTATCTATTTTCATTATCTCTTTTCTTTGATATTTTTCATAATTTATAGAAATATAATTATAAATACCCTGTCTTTAAATTTGACCAAAGACAAAATGTGTTATTATTTCCGACCTATTTCTAAATTATTAAAACGCAAACTTTATATTGTTTTTAAACTAATTTTAAACGATAATCAGCATAGTTTTCGTTTAGTGAAATTTAGAATTACTAATTTACTGGTATATTATACAGACCTAGTATTTAAGGGCACCACGTTACCACTTAAATTTGAGATACTCTTTGAAGAACTTATAATATATGTGGTTATTGTCTACTCTCGTTACATATTAGATGTGCGGTTAGCCGTCATCCTCCCAGGTGACCCCTTTTAAGCTTCAAAGATAGAGATTTAAACAGGCTTCAGGTAAGATGGCATTTTAGTGTTGTGCACAACTAGCCATCCTACGGTATAGCTGCCTCTTACAAAACAAATTTAAAAAACAGAAATTTTAAAATGTCTATATTTACTAATTTTAAAAATCGTAATTTTTTAGAGGAATTTCCTCATTGGTAGAGTCCGAGAGAAATTTTTTCAATGTCTTCAACTAGATATGATTTGTGATCTTTTGACGTATCGTTGAGAAAAATGTATACAGTATAGACTGAGAAAAAGTAGTAACAGATAAAAAAATAAATAAATAAACGCATCATAGCAAAATTAATAGTTTCTCAGCTTTGCGTCGAAGCTAAAAACAAAATTCCCAATATAATTTAATTTATATATCCCCTCTATCTATATAAGACTCGGAATTTCAATTACTTTTTTTTTTTTTTTATGTTTTACTTTAGCTAAAACAGGAATTAGTTAAATAATAGAGTAAATAAACGATGGTTGGGATGTAGTCGATACTGTCTTTTATTTTAACAAAGGGGGCAGTAGCCTATTTATTTGACGTATTATTAATTAAAATAAGTCCAGCGTTAATTTAGAAAAGGTAGTAACAAACAAAAAAATTTGTCCGACGACTTATTTTCTATGCTAAAAACAAGTGTCCCGGTTAAATTTTTATTTAAATTTCCCCCCCCTCCAAGTAAGACTTAAATTTTTGAACTACTACTTTATTTGTGAAATTTTTTTCTAATTATTACAATAAAAGAAAATTTTATTTATTTATTAAAACAATTATTAGGATTTTTAAACCATTTGTGTAACAATGAATTTTAGATACATATGAACTTTAAATTATGTACATACTACGTCATTAAGATAACTAAAATTATTTTGCTATTATAAAATCAACTTTACACAGAAATATAAACTAAACATATCACAAATTGCAGTATAGTTGTTATAAAATAACATGTATATGTTATACATATATGATATATGTCGTTCTTTTTCTATTTCATTAAAATATAAACAATATTAAAAAATTATTTAAAATTATTTTACTTAAAAATACATCATATAATAAATTTTGTTTCATAAAATTAAAAAAACATGTCGGGGAAATTATTTTTTATGACTATTTTTTATGACTATTTATTTGACGTATTATTAATCAAAATAAGTCCAGCATTAATTTAGAAAAGATAGTAATAAACAAAAAAATTTGTCCCGACGACTTATTTTCTATGTGAAATAAGTGGTGTTAAAATTTACGATTTCATATTTTATTTTTTCAACTTTAAATTACTATAACTATTTGAAAAATATATGGATCAATACAATTATTTTTTCATAAATATTTTATGTTTACTTCTTTCATTTGATATACATTTTTGGAAAATCTGACTTTTGACCTCACCACAGGGAAGATTCAAAATAACAATTTTTACTCGCAAGTTAATCTTTTTCAACTCAATTTTTAAAAATATTCCGGAAATATTGATTCTTTTATTTAATCTTAAATTAAAGCTTTTGTAATATAGTATACTATGAAAAAACTAATTTCGAGACATATGCGAGACAAATTTGAGTATAATACTCAAAAATATGTTATTTTTGTGTTTAAATTCTTGGTATTGTATTATAATATAACTTATATGAAGGTACACTGAATTTCATGAATATTACATAAATTTAATTGACATAGAATATTCAATTGAACTTATTTCAATATTTTTTTCCTTGTTAGTTAAAAAAAGTAATTTTAACATTTAAATCAGCTTAAATTGTCAATTTTATCAAACGATGAATGCGACAAATGTTTGCCCATTCAGTAAACATTACCTGTAGCAAATTTTGCAATTTTTCCTTAATTCTTTTTGAGTTAGAATTTTATTTTTGGGCAACCCACCAATTTCTTAAAATTAAACACTATCTACCGATTTGTATTGAATAGTTTCTTATGATAGTGATTTTAATCATTGTCAGATAGCATATATACTTGTCCCAACTATGCCACCCTCACGCTGTGCTGTGACCCCACTATGCTACTTTATTTTTTTGAGATTATTATTAATTAGAAACACATGAAAAAATAAATTTAAAAAAAAATGTTTTATCTAGTTTTTATTAATTTTTGTTATATTAAAAATAATCCGTGCAAAATTTCAGGTCAAAATGTTATTATTCACTTTTTGATCCTTTAAAGTTGATTTTTATAAAAATTTACAATTTAAAAACACAATTTGAATTCAAATTGCAAGTTTAGAATTTATATCATTAAATAGAAATTTTATGTGGAATAAAATATACTATTTTTTAGATTGAAAATTTTGATAAAAACATTTTATTGTAATAAATCATTAAAATTGAAGTCTTTCTATGGATTTCTCGGTGTTTGAATAATTATTCATATTGATATACTGCACATAATACATTCTGCAATAATTTTTTTTTAATTATAATATATTTATTAATTATTCATACGTAGCATTTTAAACGTAAATATTTGTTGTATTAATTAGAATGATTTTGTTATTATTAAATCAATATTCGAAATATTCATTGCATATTTGAAATATTCGCAAAAATATATTTAAAAAGAATTATATTTTGGTCTCTGATGGAATTTCCTCGTAGAACAATAAATTTATTTATAAGTAACAAACAATTTTTTTTTTTTTTTGAAAAGTATTGCATCAAGCACTTCATTTTATATACATGTTTGCCATAGAAGTAATATCTACTTCATAATTTTTTATAATTTCTCTATAAAAATTACAATACTAAATTATTGAATATAAATTTAATACTATATTTAATTACTATAATTATTATTCAATTATATATACTTTTAATTCAATGAACCACTAACGAAAAAACACCAAAACAAGTTTGAAGCTTTCTTGGAATGAGTAGTTATAATGGAAAATTAGTAAAAGATTTCTCAAAAATTTCATTTTCATTATTTACTTAAACAAAACATGATACATCCAAAAAGTTTTAATTTAATTCTGAACATGATCTAGCATTTCAAAAATTAAAAACCATCTTAACATCCAAACCTGTAATTGCTCACATTTCTGATGACAAAGAGACATATCTTACTGCCGATGCTAGTATTATGGACTTAGGTGACGTTCTTGAACAACCCGATGATAATAACATACTAAGACTAATAAGTTACATTACTATGAAACTTAAACGCTGATAAAACATAAAGGAGCACAACTCTTGTATTTTTTGGCCTTGTTTTTGGGTATAACATATTTTAAAGAATATCAAAGAACATTCAGAAAACATCTGTATTCAATATTATAAAAATTTAATAATTACATCTACATAAATAGCTTTTATAGTTCATTAAAATTTTGATTATGACGTTATTATGCTAGTACACTGTTAATTCAGAAAGTCATAGAACATCACGCAATCTAATCATGCATTTTTTTTAAGTGTGTTAAGATGTATAGTAAAATAAATAAATTAAATACTTAATATACTTTAAATGTAGAAATTTTTGTATCAACATTGAAGTTTGTAGGCATTTCATGGAGTACGTAAAAGGATAATTTATTTTTGTGTAAGGCCATTATTTTTTTATTCATCTTATCCATAAAAACACTGATTTGATGATGTATTCTTATTATGTAAATGTATTATTTATTGCGTTTATTAAATTGTGTCACTACAATAATGTACCCCAAGTTTGATGCTAGTCGATCGTACCTAAGATATTTTATATATATAAAAAAAATCCTGCACAGTGGGGATGTGGCATACTTGGGTTAAGTATAATGATATCTGTCAGTGATTTAAATTACTATCATAAAAAAACGCTTCGATGCAAATCATTAGGTAATGTTTGATTTTAAAAAATTGTTGGATTATTCCAAAAGCTACATGATCTTCTATTTCCTTATTTATATCCTGATCAAAATAAAGTATGTCGAATGAATAGGGATATAAATATGGTTTTTCATAAAAAAATTGTGTTGATCCATACATTTTTCAAACCCAACCCAACCAACAAGTTATAGCATTATGGAGTTAAAAATGTTTAATACAAAATAAAGTCCGAAATTTTTTTTCCCATACTAAATTATATTACATAAGCTTTTATTTAAGGTATATATAAAAGTGCCAGTATAAATCAAATGATAGGTAAAAACATCATGCAACTATAAAAAAAAATTATTGATTTGTTCAGTTTTGAAAAGTTTTGGCTGATTTAAATAAAAAAATTGAAAACATTTTAAAAATTAGCGATTTTTAAATTTGTAATTTTTTTGGAGATTTCCGCCATTTACGGGGAACAAGGGAAATTTATTTCAATTTTTGGGGTATTGTCTTCGACTAGATACAATATATGATCATTTGACGTATCTTTGAAAGAAATCAGTTCGGTAAGAGCAGATAAAGTGGTAACTAACACAAAAAAAAAAAATTTAAAAAAAACACATCATAGTAAATTTAATGCCTTTTTAGTTTCGCATCGAATCTATTATGGAAAGAAAAGATGATAAACTTTTTGTCGTCTTACAATAACATAATTATAGTATTTTATTAAGTCTCGAATAAAAAATCAAATATTATAAGGCAAATTATTGAAACCTAAATACTCATAATCATTCATCACAACGTCTTGAACATAAGAGTCCAAATATTCACACATAGTTTGATAAGTAGTACTATATTCTGTTAATGTATTGTTTTTAATCAATTGTTCAAATTTTGTAATTAAGGATATGTCTGATTCACATTTAATAATTTTGCAATATCTACTGTTAAATCGAATCACGTTTTTTAATTTCGTCTGTAAATCTGAAGATTGAACGTGAGCTACGCCTTTAAGAAACGTTTCAGCTTCATAAAATCCATTCTTAATAAATAAAAATGGGGAAAAATACTTCTTTCTAATATCATTCAGATAATCAATAAAAAATTCTACCACTTTCTCTAGTAATAATTCTTGACGTCGACTTTTATTATCTTTTCTGTAATGTCTCAAAGTATTCAGAGCAACTAACATTTTTTTAAACATATCATCGGATGTCATAAGTGTTTCATAAAACTTAACTGCACAATTCATTTTATTTTCATATTTACAAACATAAACTATATGTCCCAACATTATAGAAAAATTGCGAACTATTTCAATATAGCGACATCTTAAAATAAGTGCAAGACATGACCGCACGTAATAATAATTTACCTTATCAACGGTACATATAATATCTTTAAAATATAGTGATTTTCCATTTGTAAATTCAGTTTCAACAGCTATATGTTTCAATGATTGCCAACCAATGTAAGTAAGAAAATGATTACACAATACAATACCTTCATTATGGCAATATTTCTTACTTTTGAAAAATATATATCTGTATAGAAAAAACAAAGTCATGCGTGATTGTTCCAAATTATTAATATAAAAATTTTATCTTTTAAATAAGTAAATAAATAACTAAAATTATGCTTAACAAAATAAAATTCTTAAACTTAAGCAATTAAACGTACTCAAAATAATTCTTACTTGAACTTATTTGTTCTTTCAAGATGTTCAAAGCCTAGTTTTGAATAACAATTTTTAGTTATTCCGGTAAAGTATAATTCAAGATCTTTATAGATGTCATTAATATATTCATTGGAGATCTCTACCAATTTTTCAATTTGATCAGTATTATAATTCATCAAAAACTTGGTTAAAATTGAACTTTCGTGTTTAGTCCCACAAACTTTTCTATTTTTGTAAAGATTTGATATCATTAATTCCGCTTTTTTATTAAAATGTTTTATGCTTTCAAAAGCATTGACCCATCTAACAGTACTAGATAAATTATATAATGAGTATTTGCATAACTTAAAAGCATTTGTGTAAAAATAATTTATTTCATTATCTACAGTTTTAATGTTAAAGATAGGCGAGTCTACAATACGTAGGTCGATTTTGTCGAGATATTTTGCTGTTTTTAACATTTTTTTAAACATAGTTATTGAACAATTAAAAATATTAGTAATTAGCCTTATGCAATATTCTAATTGATTATTTTGATTTATAGAATCAGTCATTTCACACTTATATAAAGCAAGTCTTAACATTACATTGAAAGTGTTCATTGTATTGGTAAACTCACAGTTTAATAGATGAGTTATATAGTAGAGTTTTTGTATAAAGTTATTTTCATCAACAATTTCACTTGTGACGCTTTTGGTATTAATTAATAAGTTGTCAAGTATAATTTCTGTTTGTTGAATAAAGTCCCATCCATTTTGAACACAAATGTGATTTAATGAGTTAATCATGTATTTTTTAAAATCTTCACTTTGATTATCACAATATACATCTAAAACTTGACTTAATTGCCAAAATAAGAAAAATTCATAAAAAATAATTTTCTTCGACATGTTTTTTTATTTTATAAAACGAAATTTATTATATGATATATTTTTATGCAAAATAATTTTAAACTCTATTCTAATATTGCTTGTATTTTATTGAAATAGAAAAAGAACGATATATATCTATTTTATAACAACTATTATATGATTTGTAATATGTTTATTTTATATTTCTGTGTAAAGTTTATATGAATTATACTATAACCTAAATTGAGTTATTTTAAATATATTAATATTTAATATAATATTAAAAATTATATCTTTGAAAAAATTATTGGATAATAAAAGCGATGTGTCATTGTGTTAATCATAAAAAATAATTTAATTTTTAAACTAGGATTTCAATTGATGTAATTTATTTTTTAATTTTCAGACAATAACTTTAAATTTAACCAAGTGTATAATTTATCATTATAATAGTTCTTAATTTTTATTTTAAATGGAACAGCAGTATAAGTTGACACTTGCAACTAGATGAATTTATTAGATTTAAAAATATATATTAGTTTTTGCGAAATTTTTTTGAATATATTAACAAAACAATGATAAAAATCTTGAAAATAATTTAAATTAATACAAACGATTTTTTTAAAATGCACATTTAAATTATAAGCGTTTCAAATAATACTTACATTAATCAAATTTAATTGACATATTACATAAATTGTACGTTTTAATATTATTCATAGATTATCGCAAATAAATTACTTTTATTGATTCTCAAATAAGATAAAGTATTGTAGAAAAATACCAATTGTTGTGAATTTTTTATTAAATATTTTTGAATATATTAACAAAATAATTACAAATTTTGTTGGGAAAAAAAATTTGAAAATCCGATCACGCTAAGCAATTTCCCCAGAAAAGCGATTTTTCCTTGTTCTACTATATCATAAGAGAGTAGAGGAAAAATAAAAAATTTTAATACACATTATATGATTTGGTCGGGATATATTATATCCATACCATATATTATGGTGAGTGTGGGTTAATTATATTAAAATTCAGTAGATGTATTATAAAAATTATCGAAACTTGAGTCATTGTCCGTCCGCTGCGACGTATTCGCTGGACCATTCGACCCCCTGAAATATGTTGTGCGCTCAAATAATATAAAGTGCAATTTATACGTATTTATACAAGTAATGAATTAAGCGTTTATCCTCATTCTACAAATAAACGTAGTTAGAAACACTAATGAACCCATGTTCTCACCTGATATTTTACTTTAACAATTTAAAAAAAACTTTTTTATACTTTTTTAAATCTTAATTTATTAAGAAACTATTTGTTATAATTAAGTTCTATTACATTAGTTCATATCCAAAGCTGAATCAATGTTCTTAAGAATTATTATATTTTGAATTTACACATATTTTAGTTAGTTTTTTTTTTATTAAAATACTCATGCTTGTTTGTCAATATGTGCCTTTTTTATGAAAATAAAAATATGCTGCTTACTAGCTTAAGCTAGTTATTTAAATAACACAGAATTTTTTTTTACAAAATACTCACAAAAAATATTTTAAATCTGTTGTATCAATGTCCATTGGAGATACATTTTTGTTGTATCTCTAACAACATTACCTATTAGTTGTATATAAACAAAACCTTTTAGTCCTAACTAATTCCAGCACAAATTATTCATTAAGTTACTACCAAGGACGTGTTGTATAGAGACCCACTTGACAATAGTATGCCGCATTCAATGACCTTCTCTTTGTAGTAATTTTTGGTTTTACTTGGTCTTGGTGGTATTGTTCGTCTGAAAAACTCAATACACCCTATCGAATCCAGTCCAACTGGTCAATACACATAAATTCTTATTCCGATTGTATAATAATCACACCCCACTTTATCAATAAAAAAACTATCTATTTGAAATCAATCAAATTTAATATTCCACATATGTAGAATCATCCTCTAAATATTTAAAAGAAAGAAATAATAACTAATGCAATGAAATGCTCTAAATAAGTTTTTTAAAAACAATGTAAGGATAACATTCTATAAAATAAATTATACTTTAATTATTTTTCAAAATAAATAAATATTTAATTAAAGTTAAAAGAAAAAAAAGACAAGTACGCCGAGATCCAATCTGTAAGCAACTTATAATGTCTTACTCCTTGGACTTTTAATAGGCAACTAAAATGCCATTAAATGTATCATTTCATGGAGGTTTAACCTACAATGTACTTAAACAATTATTTGATAACTAAAGTATGTTACTCATAAAATCTATAATTAAAACGTTATGACCACAATAACTAATACTTATAAGCATTTTTAGTTTAATTATATAAACAACTAATAAATAACTTTAATATCAAGTAGTAACCGGTGTTCTAACCTAATTTACCTTAACTTAATACTTAATTTTCTATTGTCCAACAAATCAAATAACCACGCTCCATTGCTACCAAATGTTGACACAAAGGTTCTTTTCTTATAGCAGTTGACCTCTGTTTGTCTTTTAATTTCCCAGAAACTTAACTTAATTATGACCGAAAAAACATACAACACACAAATATATTACAGGTGATTTTTTTATCATAACCCACTCAATTTTTTACAGAAAAATAATCATATAAACAAATATAAAATAATCATATAAATCATAATGTATCATAGATCATCATAATGATATAAATCAATATCATATAAAATTTCGTTTGATATTATTTAGTTACACATTATTGTTGAATTATTAACTATGTAATACTTTTTAAGTTTATCCTTTATACCTGGTAAGGGTGTCAACTTTGTTTTTTTAAATGAGAACACATATTTTGAATTTAATAAAATGTTCGAGTTTTTAAATTGATATTAAATGGTATTTGAATTTTAAGTATATATATATATATATATATATTAAAATATATAGTTATATAGTTAGTTATATAATTAAAATGGTAACTTTATTTGTTTATTAGATATAAACATTTATCAATATATAAACATTTAAAGTTTCAAATGTTTGAGTTGATATACATGTATAAAATACACAAGGGATTACAAATACAGGTAGCTAATTGGTTTTTTATAACATCGCTGTCACAGCCATGGATTGTTTATTATCAATTATGACTATCAATAGATATACTTTCTGCATTGTTAGTTAGTGTATTTATAAACTCACAACAATGTGCCTTACTACAATTGATAATAACAATGCTGTGTACCTGCTAATATCGATGTCATTAAAAACCAATTAGCTACCAGTATTTGTAATCCCTTGTGTATTATACATGTATATCAAATAAACAAATAAAGTTATACTAAAAATTCAAATGCCATTTAATATCAATTTAAAAACTCAAACATTTTATTGAATTCAAAATATGTGCTCTCATTTAAAAAAACAAAGTTGACACCCTTACCAGGTATAAAGGATAAACTTAAAAAGTATTACATAGTTAATAATTCAACAATAATGTGTAACTAAGGATAATCAAATTTTTTTTTCAAGTCTTTGTTTCACTGAAGAATTTGGCGTCAAAGAGCAAGGAGTGGCTTCAGCGACAAAACATTGCCATTAATAAATGATGATGATAATAAAATTGATAATAATATATACGTATACGTGTATATAAGCTTAAACAAGCCAGAAGACTGAAAGTGTGACCAAATTTCCTGGAACGACAATGGCCACAGAAAGTTTCCATCAAATGCTCCTGTAATATATAAAATCAGCTACACGTGCAGAGATCGAGAAGATCTTACACGTAATGTAAACTACATTTACGACAGCCACAAAGGTCAGACAGTCAACGGAACAGTAATCGTTCATTACAAAACGTTGTACCTTCAACGCACAGAAACAAACGAGCGCATACGCACATCAAGCACATTTGTACAGCTCCCTCGCAGTTACAGGGCCAACGTGAACTCTCTGTGGAGATATACTCGACACTACCATAACGTGGGTGATTTATACATTAAATTATTAGAAGGACATAATCATTTTCAAACAAAAATAATTTTAATAAATATTTAACAAACACACACTGTTTAGTTATATTGTACTACACACAATTCTATCATAAATTGATTAATAGTAATTTTTAAAAATCGTTCTTTCCGAAAAGAAATCTATAAATTATTTTTTGTCATCCTTTTTTATTCTAATTTTAACAATTAAATCCATTGTATTAATCCTAATCCTATGTGTAAAAAACAATGTTGTTCTCATATATAAAATGTCAAAATGATTTATATAATCCATTCAGCTGTAATAATATCTCTATTTTATGCTTATTTTTATTTTCGGTGGTAAAAAAATTTTATAAAAAGGCAGAGCAAACCCTTATCCTTAGCTGTTCTTATCGTGTTCCGAACTACGTTACGCGAACGTCGTGATCGTCAATGTCGAAAATTTTACTTGTTAGTTTGTGAACTAAATGGAATTGTGTTATTTTATTCATAAATTATTGATTAATACTATTGTTTAAGATATTCTAAGAACTGAGAAAAAATTATCAGGTAACATTTTTTTTAATAATCAATAAGAGTCGATATTTATGTTATTTTATGACCCTCGAATCACACCCCGAATCAAAAGTTACTCATATTCTCACTTTCATTTTCACTTCAACACTCTCAATTTTATCCTACTCTCAATATCATATCTTTGTCAATTTTTTTTTCTTTTTATTAATTTTTGAGTTACGATATATCTCATCAACCGTCAGCAACGATTATAAAAAACTCGTTTGTTCTGGCAACATACATCCGAGACTCGAGGCCGTAATCACCCGAGAGACGAAAAATAAGTAAAGAACGCTCTGGAATTTTTTTTTTTTACTTTTCAAATAATAATTTACGGATGCTGTTTTTGTGATATAGGTTATATTTATATGTAATAAAATTCTTATTAAGACTGTAAAAAAGTATTATTCGTACTGTCTATTGGTTTGTCAATACAGAGGGTTGATTGGCCTCTAGAGTTACCGCAGCTACATAAACTCGATCCAGGGGTGCTCATTAATGTAATGAAATGTGAAATTGTGCTATCGTAACTCAAAATATGACGAAAAGGAGTTTATCTATGTGAGTGATTTGAGTAAAAGA